TTTTTTTTTTTTCTCTACTGTGCACAACAGAGAATGTCCTGTAAAGTCTGCAGGAAATATGTTGAAAAAATTATGTAATAAAACAAAATAAAACAATATAAAGCTTGAAAAAAAATATATATGTGGATTGAGGACTGTTTGGAAACTGAAACAGAATAGCTGTTGACAACTTTGAACAAACTACTTTGCCCAATTGCTTCTATTTCCCCTGACAAAAACAACAGACAAAACTTCAACTTCTGATACCTTTCCGACCACTCCATTTCCAATTTCTACCTTTTTTTTGGCTTCAAGAAAAAAACAGAAAAAAAAATAGGAAAGACTATAAAACTCTTTGGAAAATAAAGATAATACTTAAAGCTATTGACTGTTAATGCGTAACAAATGAAGGGACAAAGAGAGCAACAACAAGAAAGAAAAACACTGTATCAGTTCAAAGATATCCAACAAAATAGAAAAACAAAAACAATAAGCTACTGTTTTGTTCTGTTTCATTTTCATGTATTGCTTTAAACTGTCCTCACTATTTACAATCATACCGTAACAAAAAGACTACAAAAGTTATAAATGATAAATACAAAAAAAGAAAAAAAGCATGAGATTTATTGTCATATTATTTTTTCAGTGAATTTTCCTGCGTAGATGTTGATGTCGTTTGGGTCAACTGATTAGACGCTAAAAACGCTGAAAGCATCTGTGGATCCGACCAATTTGTTGTACCAGAATTTTGCGTTGTACCAGGCCAAATTCCAGGATATTTTGCAAGATTATCCATTGCAGCCATCCTTTGCATTTGTTGCATAAGTGCAATTTGTTGTTGGAAGAACATTAACGATGCATCACCGGCTGCTGCAGCAGCTGCAGTTGTTGTGATTGGTGTAACGAACGGCGAAAATGTTGCCGACAATGACAGAGCTGCCGCATTGGAATCTGCTGATTTTGAATCTGATGACGATACATTGTTATTCGAGGTATTTGGACTGGTTGCAGAACTGCTTGATGCTGGACGTGCCGATGCTGTCTCCAAACCATTACCACTACTGCTACCACCACCTGAAGAGCTGCTGTTACAGGACGAATTTTGTTGGGCACTACTTGGACGTAATGTGATTGCAGAGTTCGCTGCTGCAGCTCCAATTAACGTTGGATTTATCAATGCTGCTGCTGCAGGATTTAGCATTGATTCAGCTGAAACAGTAACATGTTGTTGTAAAATGAAAAAAAAATTTTAATAAAAGATTTTCCAAAATTCTTTTGTTTATTACTATGCGAGAAGCCTTTGATACAGCTTATACATGTAAAAAATTTTGAAGATTAAATAAACAACTGAATAACGAAGGTCAGATTAGTACCGAGCGCTTGTTGCTGTGCGGACATTGCTGCCATAATCGCAGCAGCATCACCGTTTTCTGCACTTTGTTGTGCTGCAGCAGCGGCCAACAGTACATAGGGATTTGGGTGTGTTAACGGATTTGTTGCACGAGGTAAATGATGGTTGTGGCTAGCATAAGGATGTCCAGCATTACTTCGTTCCTGTTTACGCCATTTCGCTCGTCGATTTTGAAACCAAACCTGTAAAGGCGTCAAGTGATTCATCGTATACAAAACGCCCAGCAAAGGCGTATAATAAATAACAGCTCATATAGTTTAACAGTAAAATACAACTTAATGATATATATACCTAAAAATTGCAGTTGCTATTTTCTGAAGATAAAACCGAAAACACCATGCAGAACTAATGAAATATTATCATGAAGCAAAAGCAAAGCATAAAAAAAAGAAACAGGAAAGATTACCTGAACTCTGGCTTCAGTAAGTACAACTCGTTGTGCCAATTCCTCCCTGCAAAATAAACACTCTTTGAATTAAAGCTTTCAAAAAATCTTTGTTGATCTCTTTTTTACTTTTTAGATCCTGAAAGAACTAAGTGGTAATGAAATGTATGAACACATCATATGGTTACACCATTATGCCAATATCCAAACCCCAAATAGTTATCGCAGTTGGCAGAAACTTTAGTTCTCCAATGGTAATAAATGTATATTAATGAATATGACAAGCTAATTTTCATATTTTTATCAAAAAAGCCCGTAAACTATATAAGACAGAATTTACACCACTGTTTAGTATCAACTTCTTCCCGTTATGTTTTGCAAATAACAGCTTTTATCCGTGTTAATAGAGAAGTAATTTAAGTGTACTTTTTCTTTCTCTGTTTTTTTTTTTTTTTGATTTGTCCTATATCTTTCCTCAAATAATAACTGAAAATACCAAAAGGAAGTAGCAGACGACTAACGATTTTTAAAAAATATTTAGTTGCCGATGTTAATAGCGGTTTATTTTTTAGTTTTGCTTACGTCACCACCACCAATAATATTAATTAATCCATTTTTTTTTTT